GGGGGGGGGGGGGGGGGAGGGCCAAGGGAACAACGACCGAATTACAGGTCGGACGAAAATCGCCGCAAATATGCCGGCATGCGTCCTGCGATTCCCGTAATTATCGCGACCACGACGAGCAACCGGGAGAAAATTCTCGACGCGTTACCGGAAACTGCTGGGGTCTGTTACACAATAAGTCACACACGTCAGATGTCGGAATGCGTGCTGACGGGCGAGTGGAAGGATTTATTTTTCGAAAACGAGTTCCCTGATTGAACCATCGGCTGAGTTCCGACATTCGATAGCGACATACGACTTATACTGAGAGAAGAATATTTGCTATTTGTATAATTATAATAATCACAATTATAAACTAAAGTAAGAGAATTATAGACGGGAGAACGATTTATTAATTAAAATGTTGTCACGCAGAAAAAATGCTAGAATCAAGTAGACATAATTACCTGTTTTTCAGCCTCTTAAATCAAGTAATATTTTTATCAATTTAAGTACAGATCAATAGATTGTAGTTAATACTTACTTGAACGCAATAATATCTCAATTTTTAGATGAATTACTGAACGTAAGCGTAGAACGTTTCTAAATTTAAGAGAATATTTACTTAGGATTACGTAATATTTCTCTTCCATCGAAGAAATCTGGCTAAATTTCCAAATTTAGATTTTTCCATCTGGTAATTCTTTTCCAAACATGAATTCTGATATTCTCAATTTTGTAAATTTAATCCTCGTCGCAATTGCTTCGCGTGACACATACAAGTAAACGTGTACTTATACGAAGGAGATATATTGCATATAGTCCATCACATTTCTACTTGAAACAGGCCTAAGAGTTTCGTCCGTTAACAGCGCGACCTGAAAAGAGACAATCACAACGGATCGTCCGATTAGCGAGCGCAGCTGAAAGACGAATCAGAATTTCGTAACTTCCGGCCGAGAGTGCCGTCAGTCGACGTGTTACATGATGCTCCGCTGCATTATTTCTCTCGATCCTCCACGACGTCGAAGATAAGAAATGTCAAGGAATGTCCTAGGAGAATCTTCCCCGCGTTTCTAAACGAGCTCTAACGTTTTCTCGATATATCGATACTAAAGCCCGCATCAAATATTGAAATTAGTCCCACGTGGGGCATTCGGATCTGAACGCAACTGTCTTCTGACCGGCCGCTCACGTCTCTCGTCTGACTCTGAATTTTTCAAACTCGTCGTCGTTCTAATTCAGACGGCCTCGCAGGACCTCGGGGGCTCCTGAGCTCAGCCGGGCTCCGTGTACCTCCAGGATCGTTTATAAAGATGTACCCGCATCCCGTCGCTCCGGTTCTTCTTATTCGTTGCCGCCTCTTCTCCCCCCCCC